TGGCCGTTCTAGACACAGCCACTGTGTCTAGACTATATCCCTTTTCTCAAAAAAGGGATGTAAATTAGACAGTTCGAAATAGCAAATGAAGCCAGGATTTAAATTTCCCGTGTTTCATTTGCATAATGGCAGCTGTGGTTTTTCTGAAAAGAGGCTTTTTGAAAGAAAAACAGCTGTTTAGACCGGGATCTTTCAAAAACAAAGATCCTGTACTCTTCAAAAAATGAGGACTGGGGTAAGACTGACTGTTCTGTAGTTCACTGGATTGTCCTCCTTCCCTTTTTAAAGATGGGCACTACATTTGCCTTTTTCCAACATCCAGGAATGTGATCTATGCCAGCAATGCCCCACTGCAATATATATTGAACAAACTGGATAATCCCTACGGGAAAGAATTAATGGGCACAAATCAGATATCCCTAAAGGGAACATACAAAAACCTGTTGGGGAGCACTTCAATCTTCCTGGGCATTCATTAATACAGTGGTCTCCAACCTTTTTAAGCATGAGATCACTTTTTTAAATTTAAGTGCAATCCAAGATCTACCTCAAACCCAAATACCTTTGCCCTGCCTCCTTTGTGACCCTTCTCCCCTGCTCACTCCAGTCTCCCTCCCTCCCTTTCACCAGGCAGGGGCAGTGAGTTGAGGTGCTGGCTCTGGTCTTGGATTAAGGGATTTGGAGCGTGAGAGGGGCTCTGATCTGACGTTGGGGCAGGCAGTTGTGATGTAGGAGGGGGTTCTAGGTGCAGGCAGTGGTGGGAGGGCCAGCTGAAGTGTCAGCACTTGGTGGCCTCTTGGCCAAACCAGTCAAGATCACCTGTCAGAGGCTCCAAGCTCTACCAGTAGGGCCCAATCTACTGGTTGGTGACCACTGCATTAATAGATCTTCAAGTGGCTGTTGTGTTACAGACCAATTCCGCAAGCAAAATACACAGGGAAGGACCGGAACTACAATTCATTCACAAGGTTGACCCTCATGCTAATGGATTAAATAAAGATACTGGATGGGTGGGGCATTATCAACCTACCAAACAATGAAGGTGCCAATAGTTCTTTGTCTGTATGGTATCTGCTGTTAGTACTCTTCCTCTCTAATTGACTAATGGTTTTTATCTGCCTCTTCTGACTATCCAGTCTTTAGGTGCTTATAGACCAGGGGTGGCCAACCCCCCAGGCTCCCGACCCGCATGTAGTTGCAAAGAAGATTGTGGCTCCCGACAGAACCGGGATGGAACCCAGATCCGTTTAGGTCAGCCATTCTCACGGCTGTGCCACTATGAGTTGCATGCGTGCTCACGGCCCACACCATTCTGCTCACTGCCCCCAGTGCACAGTGTCATATCCTGCATAGACCAGGGGTGGCCAACCCCCCAGGCTCCCGACCCGCATGTAGTTGCAAAGAAGATTGTGGCTCCCGACAGAACCGGGATGGAACCCAGATCCGTTTAGGTCAGCCATTCTCACGGCTGTGCCACTATGAGTTGCATGCGTGCTCACGGCCCACACCATTCTGCTCACTGCCCCCAGTGCACAGTGTCATATCCTGCAGGGG